GTGAAGATTAGAGATAAAGAACTGAGAACAGTGTGTGGCCCATATTAAGTATTCAATAAACACTGTATTTTCTAGGCACTAGTCCATGCAGGTCTCTGAGTAAAAGACGAGGCCAACAAAAGTTTAGCATCCTGCTGTAGAGAGGTCCGTGGCCAAATGGGAAGTCAAGGCCAGGTGGTCTGCAACTACTTCTGAGAGAAAGGTGCCACTACTAAGGTGTGGGTACCCAATGATGGCAGAAGCCAGGTCAGCCAATGGCCCGATCATGATTCATAGACAGGAGGTTATTGCCTATGCAAATTCTTGTGGTTCCAGAGATGCTCTTGTCAGGTGCACTGGGCCCATCTGGAGTACAGGACAGGACAGTCATGAAGGTCTTAAACTCCCTGTTTACATAATGAAAAGATAGAATGGGTAGTGCATTTCTGCCCTTATATAATTTCTCTTTCAGCCTCTCTCTTTCTTTAATCACACAATTTCCATTAGTTTTGTGTCTATTGTAATTCTGAGATACTTACTTCAGAGGGAAAAAAAATAATAATTTCAGAATAAAGGGCAAACAATCCAGAGTTCTGAATATTAAGTCTGTGATCTCAAACGAAAGGGCTACCTCCACAGCTAAAGTCATATCTGACTATTCAAGGCAACTGAAAAAAAGAAAAAGTTACTTTTTATTTGCAGATTCTAGGAGGAGAACTTATGAGAAATAGCAAACTGAATGAAGAAAATGGCTTATGCAAGCAGCATGGTGTTTGGTCTATGATGGTTACTTCAAGGAAGTTAATGAGTTCAACAACTACTCTTCTTGATGTCAGTCTTAGGTTGGAATGTCCTACCACCAATATTTTCAGTTTGCCATCTTATATTTTTACATTTTTCCTTTCTTTACTCAATAGAGCTATCCAATTAACTTGTCACTTTTATCGATTTTCTCAAAAGAAAGGGGATCCATGAAAGAAACATCAATGGTATATTACAGTCTATATATATCATAGCACAAACAGTACTTAGAAATATCATGTACTTTTTCTCTGACCAAGAGCATTCTGGACATGTGTCCCTCTGCTGAGCAGCCATTCTTGCAAAGAAAATAACTTGGGGCTGGCAGGTAGCATGGTGGTTAAGGGTACTGGACTACCATAGGCCGACAACAGTTTTGAGTCCCAAACTTGGCGGCTTGCCTTCTCATTTTCTTTCTTTCTTTCTCTCTCTCTCACTCTGTCCCTCTCTGGTCAAATTAAGTAAATAAATAAAGTTAAATAAAATTATTTTCAAAAAAGACAATAACTGCCTATTTGACAAATAACTTTAAAATGTCAAAAAAAGACTTTATTTGGTAGATGAATTTCATTATTTTTTAGGAAGACACTAATAAGTCAAAATTTTTGGCTTTCTTTTCTACTGTATTCTGTTCTCTGTATAACTTTTATGGTTTTCGCCAATTACAATCAAGTTAGTAAATAGAAAACTTCACAGATTTTTGTTAAAATCTTTTCTAATTATTTCAGAAGTTAAATAATTTTGCTGATGGTAATATAAAAATGATGACTTTTACAGAACCCTCTTTAGTTTCTAAGCACTTGAATATATACAACTTTATTTTACTTTGTAACAGCCTATGAGATAGAATCTGGTCACATTTTCCATTTCGCAACAGAAGAACATATGCAGAGAAGTTAAGTGATTTTTCAAAGTTACAAGGTGATTAATGGCAGAGCGAGACTTTTTCTTTCTCCAATTCAGTACATCAGATTTTATGGACAAGCTGAATTTCAAAAAACATTGCAGGGGGCAAAGCTGCCAAACTTGTAAATACTATAAGTGACGGAAAAAAAAATGCAATTTCTACCACTTCTATCATATCATAAAATTGCTCTTTTCTCACCCCCACATTGAGAAAACATCATTTAGAAGAAGTGTAGTCCTTTAAATTAATAAAATATGCTTTATAAGAAAGTCGCTGTACTCTACTTCTTTTCTCATTTTGATGTGGACTAGAAAGCTCTTGTAGTCTGGAACCCATTCTCAGACCAACACTTGGACACACTTTCCTCGTGTGAAATTCTGAAAGTCTTACTAGTTCTTGCACATTATTTCCTCCTTGCATTTCATAATTTTTTTTTGAGAGTTTTGTTTGTTTGTTTTGCTATAGGGCACATGCACTCGCCAGAAAGACAGAGAGAGACAGGGATCAGAAAGTGAGAAATCACCCCCGAGGGGGGATGGCCATGCACAATCCCTTCTCCTCTATTCTTCTCTCAGAATCTTGGGCACGTGCGCACACGTGCCCAATGTGAGTTAGCTACCAGGTCCAGAACTAGAATCATGGTCCACTACATGGGAGTTCAGTGACAGCCATTACACTAACTGCTGGTCCCACATTTCATAATTTTTAAGAAGAAACAAATATGTGCTAAAAGTTTTTCCTTTTGAAAGATGCTGTTCTTCTAGTACTTCTGTAACAAAATGATGAATATCATAAATTTACATCAAAATCAAAACATAAAGCTGCTGACCTACTAGGCACAACTAGCCTGAGGCCATCAATCAGTGGGGAAGAAGGAGGTATAGAGCACACAGTGCCAACTGCAATGCATCACTTCCACAATACGTTAGTAAGAAGCAAGAGCAGGAAGACTGCTTTGTCTTCTCATTTCTTATTCCACTTGCAAACTCATCCTAAGAGATGAATTAGTGCTGTGACTCCTATCTAGAAGGTGTGCCACTTCTGTTTTTATCTCTGCAAAGCCCAGTCCCCCATTCTTGTTTTTGGAGTCTGTAAAAAGTTTGCAAGCCTTATATGACAACTAAACATCTAATTTTATAAAACTGTATAACTAATCTATCATTATATTCCAAAAAGTATGATGAGACTGAGGCTAGTTTATAGGATAACTGAGGCTAGTTTATAGGATATTCTTTTTTCTTTTTTTTTTTTAAAGACAGTGTTTTGTATAGCAATCCTCCTGCCTGCCTCAGTCTCTGGAGTAACTGGGACTACAGACATGCTCATACCATGCCTGGATCTTTTCTAACAGAGTCTTGCTATGTGGCTCTGACATTCTTTTTTCTTTTTTTTTTTTTTAAAGACAGTGTTTTGTATAGCAATCCTCCTGCCTGCCTCAGTCTCTGGAGTAACTGGGACTACAGACATGCTCATACCATGCCTGGATCTTTTCTAACAGAGTCTTGCTATGTGGCTCTGACCAGCCTCAAGCTAATGATCCTCCTGCCTCAGCTTCCCAAATTGCCTACCTTACAGGCACATGCAACTGCGACCAGCCTTTATGTTGGACCAGGCCTCCCGTGTGGTCCCACCCAGCCTGCGGAAAATATGGATCACAGCAGCTGGGCTGCTGACATTTTCCATGTGGACTGTGGTGATAGTTTGATATGGATATTATATTTTAGCACACACCAAAAGGAATCCAAACCTCATCAAACCCCACCTAATTTTATAACCTTTACCAATGCATGGTCTTATGGTATCTACGGTCTTCTTGGACGAATTCCTTCTCTGGGAAAGAACTGCACAGTATAGTGAAAAAGAAAAAGGATACCCAACTATGCTCCTACTCAGACAAATCAAGCCCTGTGATCAGTGTCACAGCAAGAATATCTCCCAAACCCAACCGAGGTCCATGTGGAAAGATGCTCACCCACTAAAGCTCAGTCAAGGAAGGTTTCCTTGCTGACGGTAGTGTTCAATAGAAACAGCCACATTCTCCAAGAACTTTCGAAGTAATACATGTTTCCCCTAGTGCTTTAATATATATACAAATTCCAATCACAACAAAAAGTCATGTTCTATGAGATAAAGAATGATAAATGCCTGTATAACATCAAATGGCCACAGGTTACGTGTACATCCATGTTTTGTGGTATATAAAACATTTTAATATCATCATCCCTTAAGACTATATAATTTCCATTTTACTCAAGAAGAAACTGAGGCTGACAGGGTTTATGCGGTTTGTTTAACACGGTCACACAAACAAGAGCCAGAACCTGAACCTGGTCTTTTGACCTCATGTCCAGGGTTCCTCCTGTTGATCACATTCTTCACCTCTAAAAGTGAGCCCCCAAATGAAAAGAACACATGAAAGCTTACTTTTATTCCAAGGCAGAAAGTCAGTCTATCAATGATTTCAGGAAGAAGGGCCACCCATACTAACAAAAAACCTGTGAAGATGAGTGGTTTTCTTCCGCTTTCTCACCATTAATATAATGCCAATGTTGTTCACAGTCTTCCTATTAATTTCCTTAGAATTTATTACATAAACTAGCAAATACAGGATATCCACAAACTCAGGACAAGAGAAACACTGGACGCTCATGAAAGAAACTATTTGGAATCACTTTTATCATACCTTTCTTCCAAAACAAACATTTTTGTGACATTAAATTTTTAAAAATTGATGACAATGTTGATCACATATTTCTGTGGTTTACAGTCTGGACAAGAGTTATCCAAAATATAGAAAACAGGCTATTTATAATCCACATACAACGAGATAAAATAAAAATAAAAAGGGTAGCTAAATTATATGGAATTGACGACTCCTAAGGCTTAATGAACGTTATTTCCTATGTAAAAGATAGTCATTGCATGAAACATTTGTAATGAAAAAGTGTGTCTATGTTAAGTAGACTAGTCTTTTTAGTCAAATTAAGACTGTTTTCTGAAATTCATAAATAGCTCATTCTAATCAAAAGTTTGAGTGGTATTAACTTATGCTACTAAGATTATTATGAATATCAGTCTTGTTGCTTACTATGACTGTTTTTTTTTCATCTCTGATTATAGGCTATGTTCATGATTAAATATATACAAGATCATTAGAAATCTTTTCTAATTCCAGAAAAAAAAAAAAGAGTAAGCAAAGCAAACTAGGTATCATTATTTCTTCGTCCCAAGTTCACATCATTTAGAGTGATTAAAATGTAAATTTTTACATATGTGAATAAAACGTAAAGGAGCTAACAACTGGAGACTGCGC